CTGTGTGTTGTACAAAGAATGGAAACTTCCCTCAAAATGCGATTCGCGTACTCTGTTAAGTGAGATATCTCGTGCCAAAACCCATCCTTCCTTCTCCCCAGCAAGTCCAAGGGTACTGAATTTTAAGAGCTAATTCTCTACAAGGTGGCAGGTTAGAGAGGCTGAGTGTTTTCTGGAAATTATGTTGACCATCTCGCCTGTCCCCATTGATGCACGGGCATCACCAGGGACCATGGGGAGGATGGCAAGAGGTAGGCATGAATTTGGCCAGGGTGCCAATGCCAGCTCTCCCACAGGGACCCCAAACCAGTTTCTGTCGGTTTTCTTTGTGGCCAACTTGTTGGAAACCACGAATTCATCCCGATGTTTAAGGCCTGTTGTCAAGCACAACAGAGTGATTTTTCAAAAACGAAACCGTTTGGGGGGAATGTTACATGAGCCACAGAATGTGAAAGTAGTCATTTTTATAAAGTGCCTGAAAAAGTCTAGTAATTATTGTTCCAAACAAGCCGCTCTTTCTCTTCGGTTTGTCTGACATGGAAAGAAAAAGAAAATCCTTTCCAAGTGAGCGGTCTCTTAGTGAGCTGTGTTAGCCCTGGCTGGCTCCAGGTCGGCGGGGATGGAGGACCCTTGCTTTTCCCGCCAGCTGCATCTTGTCCCGTAGAACAAAAACACCCCCAGAGCAGCTATCTCTGGTGGGAGAACATGTTTACAATCGTGGGGCTCTGTGGTTTATGGTTTTCTAGAGGGGACAGTGGTGGGCATGAAGGTGAATTTTTTTTTCCTACATCTAAACAGTAAATGAAATATCGCTGTAATCTCTTACTGAGCTCATGGAAAAACTCAAGTCATCGAATGTTAGTTTTACAGATGAGGGAAGTTTTGCAGAGATTACCTGACTTGCTCCAAAGCCCATAAATCTTGCTACGGGGAGAGCTGGGCCGGGAAGGCGGGGTCCTGGGGCCCTTACACACAGGAGGAATCTTCCCAACAGTCCACATGCTGCCAGGGCTCTGGCCCCCGGGGGAGTTTCAAGCCTTAGCTTGAATCTCTTTGAAGGCTTCCTCCTGTCCTCGGCCAAGCAGTCCTGTTGAAACAGAGAAACGTTCTGCTTGAAATTAATTAAATGATCATTTTCACATGATTACTTCTATTCTTGCTAATCAGTGGCTTCTATTATATAGAACCATTACCAGGGAGAAGCAAGCAACTCCTATTTATTGGCCGTTTTACTTGAGTTATATAATGTAATCTACGCTGAAGTCCTGTGAGGCAGGTTTTATTAGCATGTCTGTGAGAGAAGTAGCAACTCAAGCTCAGAGGAGTCGAACAACTTGCCCAAGGCCACATAGTTTGTAAGTAGGAGGACTTGGATTTGAACTCAGGCGACCTGCCTCCAGCACCTGAACTCCACAGCTCTGCTGTCCCAAGGCCATTACTCGGGCAAGGCTGGCTCTCTACTTGGGGGACCTGGTGTGGGGACTCCAGCGACAAAGGTGAACCATCAAATAAGATCGCCAAGGGCTACTTCCCCGCTTTCCTTCCCAGAAACTTCCTATTGTTTCTTATCCTGCAGTCCTTGTCAATGCCACCCCACATTTACAAAGGAATTATTTTCCAGTAGGTCAGGCTCAGATGCTTGTCCATGGAGGCTGCCATGCGCTCAGACCTCAGCCCAGCTGGTACAGCCTTCCCAGCCGGTGATCCGAGCAGCCGTCCAGACTGACTCACTGAGTGGGGTCATTGTCAAAGACACCTCTCTCTTTGGGTGACCCCTGGCTGAGCAGAGAGTCAGCACACAGGATTTCTTGGTGTGGAAATCATCAAAATAGCTCTTCCTATCCTGTTCTCTGGATTTTCTCTCAGATGTTGCAGGGGAAAAAAAAGGAAATGGTAATAAACCCCACAATGAGGGAAAGAATTCACAGATTAAGTGGAGCTAAATCCTGGAGACTCGAACCCAGAATCTAAGGCAGCAGGAGAGACATTCTCCTCTCTCAGAAGGTTGTTTTCGGGAAAGTTCACTTATTCCAGACTGAGGTATGTGCTTGACCGTGCTCACCAGCGAGCAGAATGAGCCTCATATGCGTAGAAACAGGCAAAGGAATATTTTCCTCAAAGTGACAGAGCCTTCCCTCCCAGAGCTAGCCAAGACAGTGAATGTCCCACCCCTTCCTTCTGGGGAGATGGGGGTGGGGAGAAAGGCCATCAGGTCAAGACCACCCCACCTCATTCCCTAGTCTTCAATGCAGAAGATACAAACTGGGGTTCCAGGAAACTCTCTACAGCCTTCCGGTCTTTGGTTTCCCGAGTGCCAATGATAAGCTAGAACTCACTCAGTGATAGGATCCAGCCGGAGCTCTCCGCCCCACCTGGCAATGATGGTGCTCTCTGAAACCCTCCTCTCCTTTGGCCTCCCTGCTGGGTTCCTTCTTTGCCTGCCCCTCAGCCTCTCAAATGGATTCTCCCCAGGGCGTGGACCTGCTTCCTCTTTCCCCTCTCCTTGCTTTTCCTCCTTCTCTCTTCCAACAGAGGTTCCCCAGATACCTCGTCTACTCCTTGGCTTTGGCCGCCACCTGCTAGTGTGGTGATTCAAGGTGCGTCTCCTGTCTTCGCCCCTCCCCAGCACTCCAGCCTTGTGAAGGCAGCTCCTTCCAGGACCTCTTCACCTGGAAATGCAGGTGGCTCAGGGGGCGCGATGTGAACACACCCGGGGTCACGCCTCACTCCCCACTGGCACCCAAATGCACCTTCCCGTGTGCCCCTCATACATCCAGTCCTTCCAGCTACAAGCCTTGGTTGCCTCTTCACTTGCCTCACTCCTTACTCTCTAGTGCCCATGGGGTTTCCAAGTCTAGTCAGTGCTACCCTGAAGTCTCCCTGAAATCTGTCCTCTTCTCCCTACCCCCTCTGTTCCTCCAAGTCAGGCCCCCAATAGCTTCTACTGCCCTAAGTAGGAGGTGCCCCTGCCCCCATCCCCTCAACTGTTCTGCTCCATGACTCTCCCTGCACCTCCTACTCTGATTATCCCTCTTTTTCTTTTTCCTTTCCATCAGCGTTCTAACATGTCTGAGCCTTTCTTGATTTTGTCTTCCCCTGACCCCCATCCTGACTCTCCCTTTCCCTTCCCAGACAAGATTCTTGAAAGAATTGTCTATGCTCTGTACTCGCATCTCCACCCCACCCATTCACTGTCAAACCACCCCATCTGGCTTCAGCCATCCTCTTGCCCACAGCCAAGTCTCCAGTGGCTCTCTGTATGCAACACTGCAGGCTCTTTGGGTCTGTCATGTGAGCAGCAGTACTGCGAACAGCCCCTCCTTGACGGCCTCCCTCCCCAGGGACAGCCCCACGCTCCCCATCTCCTTCCACTCCGTCACCGGCTTTGTGGCTGCTCTGCGTCCTCACCGTCACGGCCATCACCCACCTCCTGCTCTCTCTGCCCTCCCCAAGAGTCCATGCTCTCCCACAGCCTCAGCTTCATGTGTGCCCAGGGTGACTCTCACATGTGACTCTCCACCCCCACCCTCCTGGAGAGCCACAGCCTACGTCCTGCTGTCTGTGGGACACTCTCAATCACCTCAATCAGTCACAAGCATGTCAGACCTCCCCTCTCCTGGCAAACCTGCAACTCCATCCCTGTCCCTTATTGTAAAAATGGCATCCCCACCCACTGAGATGTGCGTGCCAAGAGCGCCGTAGACATTCTGCCTCCTTCCCCTCCCCTCCTTACGTACAGCCTCCAGGTTCTGCTGGGTCTGTTACCTCCTCCACACCCCTCTAGTTGGCCCACCTCTCTGCATACCCATCTCTACCACGGATGGTCCGGCTCTCTTGTGCCACCCTCCTAGTCACCTGACGTTCCTGCCTCCGGTGTGGCCCTGCTTTATCTGAGCGACTCTCAGCCTGTTCCTGACACTGATCATTTCACTTGCCTGCTTTCCCATCACGAGCACTTAGCTTGCATCTGGGCCCTGCAGCACAGTCTTCCAGCTTCCTCTCTCCTTGACTCTACCTCCCCGTTCTTCAGCCAACAGGACAACTTGAGTTCCCTGAACACGTGCCCCCTTTTGCTGACCAGCTCCTTCTCACCCTCAGGTCTGAGACCAGATGTCACTTCCACAGGGCCAGGTGCTTCCTTGGGGCTCCCAAGTCTCCAGCTGCCACTCTCCATGGCACATTGTTGGCTCTTGGATCTCCCAACTGTGAACTTTTTCAGAAAGAGCCCAGATGTCATTCACCAGGCCTTCATTGTCTCCCCAGGGCCAACAGCGCTGGGGGGTGGGGGGGGGGCAACTAGTGGGTGATTAATAGGTGCTTGGGTGAATACTGACGGCCCCTCCCATGTGACTATTTGCAGAGGTGCTCTCAGCTCCTCCAGGGCAGAAATCTAGTCCCTTCCATCTCTTTGCAGAGTCCGTCAGGCCCAGAGTACTGAAGAGAGGTTTAAGGAAAGCAAATGAGTGTGCACCAAGATGAGAGGACCCCCCAACAGCCACTTCTGGGGGTTCTGAGGGTAACTTAGTTTTTTGGCTTCTGTCATGGTAGCACATGATTTTTGGCTTCTGTCAATCCAAGTGTTACTCCTTACCTGTCTTTCAGTTAGCTAGCCAGGGTGAGGCCAGTTCCGGAAACACAGACAAGTGTGAAGGGAGTGCGGAGGGCATCACCAGTGCCCTGCTCCCCTAGAGTTTTGCAGCCAGAGGTCAGGGAGGGATCTCTGGGCTGGGGCTCTGCAGGCCTGGAGGAGAGAGAGGTGTGAGGAGCCGGCCCGCCGCCCCTGCTGCCAGCGCCACCCAACCCCACCCGGCGGAGGGGTCTTGGCCCCTGGGGTGGGCGCCGCGCGGGGAGCGCGGGCGAGCGGGAACTGCGGGAGCCGCTGGTGGGTGCCGCGCAGCCGGGGGCGGCGGGCAGGAGGCGGGGGCGGCGGGCGCCCGGCTTCCCCGCCCCTCGCGGCCGCTCCCTCCTGCTCAGCGCCTACTTAACCTGGCCCGCGGCAGCGGCGCTCTCACTTCCCGAGGTCCGCGTCCTCCCGCTCCATGGCGCTCCTCGTGCGGCTGCTGCCCCTCGTCCTGGCGCTGGCCCTGGGCCCCGCCGCCACCCTGGCGGGCCCGGCCAAGTCGCCATACCAGCTGGTGCTGCAGCACAGCCGGCTCCGGGGCCGCCAGCACGGGTAAGCCGGCCGCAGCGCTCGGGGTGGCCGCGGGACGGGCCGGGGGCGCGCGGGACAAAGCGCAAACGCAAAGCAGGCGGCGCGCCGGCACCCCGAGGGACCGGCCCTGCACGGGGTGTACAGAGCGGGGTGGGGGATCTGGAGGGCACGCCCGCAGGAGAGGCTACTTGTACAGGAGGGGACGGGCGAGCTGACCAGCAACACTCCCCATCCGGCCGAGAAGGCTGGACAAACGGCCAGGGCTTTCAGCCTCCTCTCCCCGGGAGGGCGAGGTGGGGGGCGGGGGGAGTTGGCAGCTCTGCCCAGAATAACGGTGGAAAGCCCACCCAGCCGGGCGCAGATTCCAGTGGGGCCAGGTCCTTGTCCAGAGAGCGTCTCCACACGTGGCACAGGGCCATGCAAGCTGGCAATGTCCAAAGCCCAGAGGCTCCTGCTCACTTGGCCAGGCTCCGCGCCCACCACCAGGCACGGCAGTGGCAGTGTGGCATCTCCTCCCCTCACACACGTGGTACAGACTGGGAAACTGAGTCCGGAAAGGATGCTTCACTTTCCTGCAGTCCTGCATTAGACCCTGGAGCCAAGATTGGAATCTGCCTTGAAACAATAGTTGGGATTATAAGTGTGGGACATTATCATTGTGGACAGTCCTTTGAGACACTGAGGATGTGTTGGCTTTAGGAGGCAAACCCAGGCAGAGGGTCCGACCTGGTAAAGATCCCTGCCCAGACCCAAACAGGGATGGCTAGTATTTCTACATCCCAAACTAAACCATTGTGCCTCACACTTAACCAGGCTTGGCTATAGCTTCCAGCAGACCTGGTTGTATCAACTCTTTTTTTTTCACAATGAGGTAAAAGTCTATGTGGGTAAAGGACATGGTAGCCCACATGTCCCTGGGCCCCAGTAGGAGTTCAGATGCCATTGGGTCTGGATTTGAACTCAGTAGGGCCCAGACTGCCACGTGACTGGGCAGATGTGTACTCAAGTCAAAACTCACTGTTAAGGGTGACTAGAGTTGACTTCAGAGGCGTTACAAAGCCGCGGCTCCCCACCCTGAGGAGAACCTCAGGGTTGTGTACAGGCTGCCCCCTTCAGGGGTAGTCATCCTTGTACCCTGTGCCTGTGGCCTTATACATGGGCTTAATTGGCCTATCAGGTCCACAGGGCTGTGGGGAGGGGGATTTCTGCCAAGTGGAATGAAGGAAGGGTGAGCCGCAGCCTCGGTACCCTCCTGGAAAGAGCAGAGCACCAGGGAGTGTCCAGGGGTCTTTAGGGCAAGGGGAGAATCACCTTGGGCTTAGGCTGTGTGTGCAGAAGGCTGAGGGTTGGTTCAGAAAGTTAAGAGGTCTCTGAGGCTTGAAAGTCCAAATGGGTGTCCCTGGCATTCTCACTGTCTATGCCCAGCTCACCTTTGTCCTCCTGCCTTTCTTGCTAAAGAAGCGTGTTCTGCTTGGGTGCCACAGTGTGCCTGGGAAGTTTCTGTTCCCTCTGTATCTTAGCCACTAAGTCAGAAGAGGATCCGGATAGCGGGTCTTGCAGCACAGCCCCCCAGAATGGTGTCTCTGTGCACACCAACGTGAAGCTTCCCCAAGGGCATTGGCATCCTTCCACCAAGAATCACTTCTACAGAAATCCTCCCTCCCTTGGGAGCCCAGAAGAGACACTCACCACCTGGAAAATACTGCATTATTTTATTTATTTATTTATTTGTTTATTGATTTATTTTTGCCAAACAAGTGCTCCTTATTATGAATTTTGGATATTAGACCAACTTCCTCTGCACCCCTCCTCCCCATGCCTCTGCAGGCTGATCCTGTTGTTTTGGTTCTTGGGGTGTCACGGGAAAGGCCTGCAGAGATCTGTGATTGGCAGGATGGTCTGAAGTCACACCTGTACCCCCTCCCCTGTAAAGTGTGGGCCCATGGGCAGATGAACTGTGACAAAATGGTTGTAAGCACGGTTGCATTTACTGTGACCACCGTGCCCCGAGAAGTACCATGGGACTGTGCGGCCTTGCACATGGGTGTGGCGCCCTGTGCAAAATGCAGGACCTTGTTCAAGCCCCAACCCTCCATTTTCAGTGAGAAGTGGTGAAAAGGGAAGAAAAATCTCTGCTGTTTTAAGGCCACGCGGTGCTCTCCAAGACCTGACGCACAGCTAACAAGTGTGCCTCACCCATGCACGGCGCTCTATCCCCCCACCCCGTTTGCTTGCATCTTCACCACCACATGGGAGATGTATAGCTTGTGTTCCCATTTTACAGATGGAGAAACTGCAGCTTAGTGGGAGGGAGGGACTTAGTTCCAGTGCAGAGAGCTGTTGGGAGCGTAGAGACTGTGACATGGTCTCCTGACTCCCGGCTGCACCCATGTTGCTATAGAGAGGGACAGAAATACTGACAGAGAAAGAAAAATGCATTCGTACTTCCACCGGCCTCCCAAACTGGGCTGGATTTCCTGGAGCACTTGATTCTCAAATCCAACTGGAACCGCCGAGCTGTGGTGCTGAAGGCTGAAGGCCCAGAAATGGCGAGGTCATTTCAAGTAGACTTCAGCCTTGATTTCCTGTGTATACAGCCTGCCCCTCCCACCCTGCTGGGAGAGCGAGACCTCCCCTTGCCCCCATCCTCCGCTCTATCTCAAAGGGCCGCAGTGGTGGAAACTCAGTCCGCAGAGGAATGTTGGAACCACATCCACAAGAGACTCACTGAAGATTTGCCAACCGCCTACAGAAAGTTGCAGGGAATTCATCGACAGTAATTGTTTCCTGCTCGGTCACACAGAAGAGCTTCTGAGATTGTACAGCAGTAAACAGTACCTAGGGCTGGAGTGTGGCCAGTGGGGACTCTCCCGGGGTTATGTGGGGACGGCTGTAACCTGTGAATCTCAGGCAGCAGACAGAGGAGCAAAGGGGCTTCCGGTAGAATCCTCAGGAGGGACCCAGCTAGGGCTAAGGGGATGTGGGCTTACCTCCCTGCCAGCCTGGGGTTTGCTCTCCACCCTTAACGTCCCCTGTCCTGCCCCCCTACGCCAACTCACTGCTACGTAGTGGGCCTACTTGGGCCACTCACCTGTGCCCCCTGAGCCACTGGACAAAAAAAACTGGACAAAAGGTGACATCCACGTGGGATAAGAGAGACAGCAGCGAAGCAAAGTGTCAGTGCACCCTCCTACGCAATAACCCAACTCTGAACATTTGAGAGCTGCCCATGTTCCCGCAGCCAGCAGGCCAGGGATGGCAGGTGCAGCTCTCACTGAAGGAGCCGTGTCTTCCTGCCAGCAAGTAATGGTTACGGAGTGCATTTTTAAAGTAACAGAGGAACTGAGATGTAAAAGTCACGCCTGAATTTCTCAGGACGCAGAGGTTTTCTGGAAGACCCTGGCTCTTTGCTTTGCTTTCCTCTGACTTGCGCTTTGGCCAATGAACCTGACCTGAGGCAGGAAGACACCCCCCCACACCCCCACAGATGTGACCACATAGCCACAGCTGACTTCTTTCGCCACGGGCTCCTAATGACAATCCCGCCACCACATGGCCTGAGCATGGTCTGGATCATGACTTGGTCCATGGATTAAAAAACATAAAAACAAACCCCCATGGCTCTGGGAAGGAAGGCTTCTCAGAACTGTGGACATTGCCATCAGCTTCTCCAGAGTTCCCATGGACTCCTCTGAGTGGGTGGTCCCAGGAGCAGTATTTTCAACAAGGTCCTTCCAAAGTCTCTCTTCACCCTGACCCAGGGCTAGGCCCCATCTGGGACATAAAAGAAAGAACAAGGCAGGGAACCCTATTCTTTGGAGGGCAGGGAGATAATCCTCTCTGATCAGTGTTGGATTCTGTTTGGTACCAAGCATCAAACAAGGGCCATATTCCAGGTCAGATGTGCACAGAAGGGTGTCGCCTAGGGCCCTAGAGGAAGGCTTTCTGGGGACAGCGGACTCGGGATGGGGCCCGGGTATGAATGATGGGAGTCAGGTAGGAGAGCATCTCCTAACGAGGTCCTGACCACAGTCAGCTTGGTTGTGTTCAGAGCCAAGCTTCTGGCCTAGGGACGCAGAGTACGTCTGTGAGGTGCTGCCTGGGAGGTGCCGGGTCCAGACCTTGGCCTCCCCTCATGACAGTGGGGCTGGCCATGTCCCGGGAAGCCGGGTTAGAGCCTGTGGACATTTTGGCTCAGGGGTTGGGGGTACAACGTAAGGCTGGGAGCTTTCTCTCAAAGCTGCTTTGCTTAGCAGACATACACCTTAGCTCATTGTCTCCATCTATAGCGTGTGACCTAAACATTTTGAGATGCTTTTATCTATGCATACCAAATACCTGTGTATAAGAAGGACGCTTATGTGAAACCATGTCAGCATGTGAGATGCACTTAGATAGTATTTAATATGGTAGGAAACTTGCAGGGGGGCTAGAAATTGCTAGAGACAGTGCCTACCCCTGAGCTACCCCCCGAAAAAAAAACCCTAAAATGACTGTATACCTTCTTCATGTCTAGAACATTCTGATGGCCCAGGAGGGCCCACATTGGGGGCAGGGGGAGGACATGGTGGTGGGGGGGCATGCTGCCCAGTTTGCTAACACTGCTGCTTCCATCTCAGCCCCAACGTGTGTGCTGTGCAGAAGCTCATCGGCACCAACAAGAAGTACTTCACCAACTGCAAGCAGTGGTACCAGAGGAAAATCTGTGGCAAATCTACGTGAGTGTCTGTGGCCGCTCGAGACCGTGTGGCCGCGCTGCGAGGAGGGCAGCCAGGGGCGCCCTGGGCCTGGGCCGGCCTTCTGGAAGGTTAGGCCGCAGCAGGAGTCATGAGGGTGCCTGTGCAGACTTGTCAGGGAGCTGTGTGCTTGGGAGTGGCCTTTTCAGTAAGCTGGCCGGGGGGCGGGGGGGGTGTATTTTTAAGGTTCCTGACAAGACTTGGATACAGTTTTCAGGACTGATGTGGGATTATAAGAAGCGTGAAATATGGGGTTTGCGCTTGTGTGAGTGCGCGTGCTTCTCCTTCCTCACTAAGTGGGACCAAGTGAGCAGAGGTGCCCCCGGCCTGTACCTCTAGGAAGGAAAGCCCATTGGCGAACTTACACACCGCTCCCGCTCTGCGGTCATAAGGTAAACACGCCCAAAAGACGGCGTGCCTAGAAATAAGCATGTTAGGAGACAGCAAAACCTCGGCTCAGCCTCCTGGGTTCCAGGGCTGGCTCTGCCCCTTAGCTGGGCAGGTTGCTTCACAGTTGTAGCCTCTTGTGCCTGATGGGGATGAGAAAGGACTTCCTTATGGGATCCAGGATAGCCACGAGTCCTGAATGCAGTGACGCAGCCACGAGGCTGAAGGAGAGGCCTTGCATGTAGTAAGTGCTTACTTAGTAAGGGCTTCCTGCTGCTGTCGTAGATCTGGGCCCTGTGGACCCAAGGGACAGTGCCTGTGGCATGGGGACCAGTGTGTCTCCCACAGGCCTTGCTGGTGCCAGCATCGGGGGAGGTGGCATTCGCCCCAGGGGCCCTGCGGCCCGGTGGAAACAGAGTGGCGTGCGTGTTCGAACAGAATTCCTGGGCGACCTAGCTCTGTTTGGGTACCAAGAATCAACTGATCTCAAAGCTGGCTCTCTGCTGCAGACAGGAAAAGTGCTCTGAGAAACCTCCCGAGCCACTTGGGAGGGCCTGCCCTTCCTCTTGTCTGCAGAACAGGAGGGTTAGGAGCCTCCAAGCCACTGTCTTGAACTCCTTCCCATGTTAGGGATTTGTAAATGTATTGCCTGGGACATGGGTTTTGAGGAAATGTCTCTTCCCACTCCATAACCTGCTGAGGGAAGGGAAAATGCTCTTTCCTTAAAACGGACGTAGAAAATAAATAGTCCAACTTCTGACCCTGATTGTCTTCGGGAATTATGGATCTGGGTACAAATCAAGAGGAACTGGGGATCATGGCAGAGCTGGGGAGAGACCAGCAGCCCCCTGGGAGCTCGTGTAGGGCGGATCCATGACTGCTGGCTCCCACTTGACCATGCCCAACCTCAAAGGTGACGGCTGAGTGAGCTAAGAGGATCTACCTTCTGGGTTTCGGGAATCAACACCCAGCAGTAATTCTTGCTGCTGTGGACAAAAAGAGATTATGCGAATTCTACACCATACATTCTTCTTTGGTGCCCCCAGCTAAACAAACATAAAAATAGTTTAGTGCTGCTTGATTTTTCCCCCTGTGTGTATATCATCTACTCAAACAGTTAATTAATTACTTAATTAAACATAGAGCGAGGCCACGTGTAATTGCTTCTCAGAAAGTGACCAAAGACGTGTACCAAGCAAACAGCTCTTCTCCATCTCAGAGTCCTGGGTTTCAAGAATTGCCCATTTTTGTTGGTCCTTATTTCCCTAGAAATGAGACCTGCTTCTAACATCAAGCTGGCCCTGGGGTGGCATGGGCTGTGGCATTTTGGGTGGCCTTGTGTGGAAGCATTTGCCTGCCCTGTTAACAGTAGCTTGTTAACGTTCCTTGGCACTTCTCTGGCTGACACCACTGTTGGTGACGAGCCATTTTGGCTTCTTGGCTCTTGGCGCCTACATCCTTCTCCACCTGTGTGCCAGGAGGGGGCACAGGCCGCCCAGCTGTATTGACCCATTCTTCCCTCTGGGCAGGCTTGGCTTTGAGAGAGTGCTGCTGTCTCACCAGTGAGCACAGGGGGAGCCTGGGAGAGAAAGTGAAGAGGGGGGTGGGCAGTGGGTGGGAAAGAGCAGTAGAGTGGGGTCAGGTAGCCTCCAGAGCCTCGTCAAGGCCTCTGAGCTGGTCTGACAAAGCCACAAGGGCTTGGTGTATGCCTTCAACTCGTCCAGGTGGCCATTGCTTGGGCGACTTCCAAAAGAGGAAACGAGGCTAGGAAAGTGAGTTGATAGAAAACTTCATGATCCAGGACAAGAGGGTCCCTTCCTGGAACATCACATGCAGTATTGGGAAGGTGGAGCTCACTTGGAAGGGGGCCAGAGGACTCAGGGAGGGAAAGGGGAACTCATCCTCATTGTCGGGGAGCTGAGATGGAACAGCCTTGCACTTCACTTATGGACGGGGCCTGAGGCCCGTGAGCGAGCTGCCATCCGTCCCCCAGAGATTCAGTGCCACAGGTGGTCGGGAAGGGAGTGGGGGGAGGGCTGGAGTTGACATCACCCTCGTGAAAATGGGTCCCAAGGTGCATTTATTGGGGTGAAGGGGTGAAGACCAGACTGGGAAACGGGGAGCATAGTTGTGGTTGGAGCAAATAGGATCGTCTCTGCATGGGGTCCACTGGGCAGTGAGAATTTTCTCAGCAAGACTCTAGGGAAGAAGCTGGAGCAGAGCTGTGTGTTGGGGTACAAGGAAGCAAAGTGTCCCAGGGCGGGAGGCAGCACAGGTTGCCTAAGGGCCCAGGTCTGGAAGAAGAATTTAAATTTGAAAGCAGACAAGTGGCACCAAACCCAGGGCGGTGCGGGGAAGACTTTGCAGTGTCCAGTCCCACAGAGAATCCAGGGGCCTGGAGCTATTTCCCTGCTTCGGTGAGGCCCTGGATTCCCAACTCCATGGAGGAAGGGAGGGGACTGGCCACAGGACCCTAGGATGTCCTCTGACAGTGGCTTTTCTGCATTTCCAAAGAGAGAAGAACCTGAGTCTTTGGTGCTCCTTGTCAAGCCTGCCATATGGATTTTATTACAGGAAGCGGTTACCAGCGGGCCCCTATTTAGCGACTCGACTGAATTTTATTAGTTGGAAATTCACATCGGCTTTTCTTCCAGATCCCAAAGAGCTCCAGAGTGATACGCTAGCTAATCGAGCAGAGAGGGCCTGGCTGGAGCCAGCGTCCCACTCTGTGATTCCAGGCCCCAGTCTGATCGGTAACCACAAAAAGTTTCTGTGCAGCAGCTTGAGCCGAGGTGCAGGAAACTGCGGTCAGGAAGCCTTGCTGCCTCCCGACAGGCCTCCTTTGTGTGAGCCCCACAAGAGGGAGGCTTGCTTCACAGCCAAGTCGGGTCGGAGTTGACATCACAGGGAGGTGACAGTCATAGCTGGATCCCAGACGTCCGACACGTGGCAGAGGCACAGCCAGCAGGGGAGCGAGCAGGTAGGGGCGGTAGCTGTCCATTCCAGAAGTCTTGAAGTGGTTTCGTGAGCAGCAACACTTTCATGAGCTCAGCAGCCATCCTGTGAAGCCAAGATGAGCTGGCGGGAGGACACGCCCCTTCCTCTAGGAGCCGGCCTTGCTCTGCCCAAGGACTGTGATATTCATACTTCTCCAGCTTCACGTTAAAGCTTAGAGATTCAGCTTCTGGCAGAGGCCACTGGGGTATGGCTCGAGCCTGGCCCTCAGCCAGCCAAGCCCTTACCAGAGGGTCTCGTGCTGACAGGACACCCAGGGACATCTGTTCTGAAGCAGAAGAAGAGCCCTCCTTTTCCTCCCTGTCTTGTCCCCCACAGCCTTAGTCCCACGAGCATGGTGAGGAGCCAGCCGGGGATGCCAGGCTCTCCCCACAGCTGGAGCAGCACTTCCTTCCTTCTTTCCTATTCCTCGAGCAGCCATCTGAGACCCCATGTATAATGTGCTTTCAGAATAATATACTTGACACCCACCTAACGCCACCTTAGTGGCACAGGATTGCCTGAAGGTTCTGTCCCACTCTATAACTTCCAAGGTGGCAGCTTAGCTGACATTCGTTCTGTTGTTTCTGTGCATCCATGCAGCATCCGGGGTCCTGCGCTGGGGCAGGCAGAATGACAACTCCCGGAGATGTCCACATCTCATCCCTGAACCCGGAACAAGGAAAATGAGCCTTTGCTGATATGATTAGGTTAAAGGTCTTGGGAGGGGAAGGTTATCCTGGGTCATCTGGTATGTGGACCTAGGGGTCCTATAGGAAGGAGGTAGGTAGGTCAGAGTCAGAGAAGGAGATGAAGTTAGAGTAATGCGACTGCAGGCCAGGAGGTGCATGCAGCCTCCAGAAGCTGGAAAAGACAAGGAATACATTCTTCCCTAGAGCCTCTAAAAGGAATACAACCTTTCATTTCAGCCTCATTAAGGCCGCTTTGTAAGGTGATTTGTAATCTGGAATTGTAAGGTGATTCGTAATCTGGAATTGTAAGATGATAAATTTGTGTTGTTTTAAACCACTAAATCTGGGATTATTTGTTACCACAACAATGGGAAACCAATGTAGGCCCTGTCTGTTGCGTTCTGTAGGTTGCATTTTATGGGGAATTTGTTTATCACACCGTGATAAACAGTGGTCTCATGCAGGACGTTGCTTTCAATGAAGTTATTAATCTAACTACAGTTTTCAAGTTTATACCTGCAGTGTTTTGTTTTTTTTTTTAAAGCTCAAGAACTGAGCCCTTAGTAAATATCAAGCATCTGTGAAGTACTTTTCATAAGTGAACCCATTGAATTCCCATAGTCACCGTATGAGAACGGTATTATTATTAGCCCATTTTACAGCGGGGAGACTGAGGCTCAGAAAGCCTAAGGAGTGTGCTCAAAGTCATCTGCTGGGAAGTGGGGCAGGCCTGATGTCTCCAGGGAAAGTAAACGTAGCAGCTATTGTTAGTCTCATGGGGTATAGGGCCCGAGTGACCTACCCCACATTGCTCTCTACAGCCCTAAAATCTCTGCCTGAAGGTACAGGAGACAAGGTCTCCTGAGGGGCAGCAGAGGCCTTTCAGCTCAGACTCACCAGCCACCTTCTGGTTGCTCACCCCCGGTCTGGTGATCATTGTGCTCCCTGCTACAAGGGGACTTCTGGTCAGATAAAAGGGCACGGGAACTCAAGAGACACAGTCAGTGTTCAGGAGCCCCCACAATGTGTGCACCCACTCCATACACACAGATTGTCACAAACATGTAAGTACATTTTTTAAAGTCTCTATCTTCTCATGAACCAAGCTGGACCCTGGTTAATGATGGGGCCTTTGGTGCTGGCCGTGAGGTCAAAGCGAGCACCCCCCTTTTTAAAAAAGATTTTATTCATTTATTTGAAAGAGGGAGAGTGAGAGAGAGCACAAGAGGGGGTAGTCAGAGGGAGAAGCAGACTCCTGGCTGAACAGGGAGCCCGATGTGGGGCTCGATCCCGGGACTCTGGGATCATGACCTGAGCAGAAGGCAGCCGCTTAAACGACTGAACCACCAAGGTGCCCAACTGAGCCCTTTCTCATCAGAGGGGTCAAGATTTTGATTTTCTGCTGGAGGCTCAAAAAAGCTCAGCTTAGTTTCCAAGGCCAGGAGAGCAGAAAAGGAACCAGACCAGGCCAACAGTCCACGGGGGATGGCTTTGTGTCTAGACGATATGGGGCTGTGTTTGCTCTGCGATTCTGCTTGGAAATCATGACACGCTGAGTGGTTTACCTTCTGTCACGGGAAACTGGCGCTCAGATTGCATTCCTTGCTCCACCTACTTCCAGAGTCTGGTTCGTCCCTAGACATTTACAGCCATGACAACCGGCTGGAACTGTGAAGTATGGTTGGAGAGAGTGATTGTTTTAATTTATTATATTAACTTCGTGGAAAATCATTTTGAGGAAAGAACTAGCAATGCGTCTGTCTGTATCTGATTGTGAGTAACGCTCTGGAGGCCATTGGCAGAGAGTCTCCCAGCCACCTCTATCTTTAGACCCTGGATCGACACTGCCTCTCCTTCCTCCTTTAAAGGCCCTTCTAGATTGGTCACCTTCCCTCACCTTCTTCCTCAAATGGTTCTTCTGATGGAGAAACCAGAACAAGAATAGTCATGTCTCATTGTCCTAGAGATAGTCTTTTTCTGAGGTTTTTTACTTACTGGACTGTGTTAGGTCAAGGAGAAGCCCAGAGCCTCTCATCAGAGCAGCTTTCCCTGATGGGATGTGATTCAGAGAGCAATAGATCGGTCCTCTCTACACGGGGAGGCCAAGGAACTGGGGAGACAGAGATGGAGGCTCCTGTGTTTCCCATCCTTCCTGCCTTCATCCTAGAGAGAAGGTATCACACCCACCACACTGTGATGGCCCCCAGCTCCATCTCTTCATAGCACCCATGTTTTCCTCAGCCAAAGCTCAAGGGGAATAGCACACTGGGCTGTGAGCAGGCACCGCTCGTCCAGAAAGTTTTGGTCAAGATCATCTCAATGGGCTTGTCTTCTCAGTCTGTAATTTCCAGTTGCCTCCACCTCTCTGCCATGCACACCGGTTCTGAGCAGGTCTGGTTTTGTGGGGACAGTAGGGAAACCGCTGGCCGAGAAAGCATCTCAGCCCAGAAGGCTACCAGGTTGGGGGTAAGAGGCATGGCTGATGTCCTCACACCCGGAGAGTGCCAAGGATGCCAGACTGTGGCAGGAGGAGGGCAGAGGAGAGAGAGAGGCAAGTGGGGTGGGAGGATGAGGAGAAAGCTTCATGGCAGAGCCACACTTCGTTAACCAGGGAAAAGCCCTCAGCTGGTGGACTGACCTCTGTGGGCTGCCCTGTGCCATCCACATCCAGCCGCTGTGGGACACAGGTGCAAAGCCCACATGGAAAGGGGGCTGACGAGGTGGGGAGCTCTGTCCACACCGAAGAGAGCACCTATGTCCTCTCAGTGTCAGATTTCTCTGTGCCCCCTGTATGCTGCCAAGTGCAATGGAAAAGGGATGAGACCTGATGAAATTGGGGGGAGGGGGTCCTAAGTCTGCCCCTACCCAGCTGTGATCTTAAGAAACCCTTCTGCCCCTGAGAACCCTTGCAGTTTTCTAACTCCATCCTAAGTATCTTTCTTCACACTGAGACTTGTCTGCTTGTATCTGTTCCTCCTCCCAGCCCTCTTCTCCCCACACATCCCATTACCCCAACCCCACGCACAGACACATGCAGCCACAGGAACTACAAAGTTCACACTTGGTGAGTTGGCTTTCTCTGTCCTCAGTGAAATTCTGGTGAGGCCGTCTGAGCTGTGGAGCTCTCTTCAGGTTGTTTTGTTTTGTTTTGATTTGAGATGGAACTCAAAAGCTGACACCCTGGAAGAAGAAATGTTGGTGAGCCCAGCTGGGAGTTCCAAGGCATAGAGTATGCAGCACCCCTATGCACGGGGGACCCCTGAGATGAGGAGAGCTTTGAGGAGAAGACCCATCCTCCAACTGTGCTTCTCCAGTTCCGTGAAGTGTCACCCAGGCACTTTTAGAAAGATGCTAAGCTTTGGCAGACTTGACCTTAATCCCACCTCTGCAACCCCAGCCCCAGAGCCCTGGTATTTATCAGAGAAGCCCTGGGATCCCACGCATGGGTGTCCACTGGATCTATGGGCCTGAGGCTTAGAGCTCTCCCTAGGATTAGCTGGGAGAAGCCAGCAGACACTGTCCTTTGAAAGAGAGCTTCTCTGCCCCCTAGAAACAATCCTAGTGACTAGAATCATGAGTGTGAGTTTGGAACGAACCTTGGAGATCATCTAGTTTAACCTCACCCCATTTCGTAGATAAGGCAATGGAGACCCTGAGAGAAAAGTGGACCTTTGAGGTCACTCTACTGGTTACCAATGGGTCACAAGTCAAGTTCCCTAATTCTCATTGTTTCCATGACACTATGCTGCCTTTGAAGGTTGCCTGTCAGTCAAATCTGACTTTCATGGCAGAAGATGACTTTAGTCTCCAAAAATAAAATTGTGGGTCAGTCAAGGCAAGTCCTGAGTCTGCTTAGCCCTTACAAGTAGAGCCCTTATGGGTATGGAGATGAAAGGCTAGAAAGGACCAGGATGGGGGAAGGTTGGAGAAAAGGAGGATGAGGTGGGCGGAGGGAAGCAAGGAGCAGGGCAAAGAGGGAGGCGCATGACTTGTCACTCTGCAGCCATTTCCTGGGGGACCCATTTCTGGCAAAATGCTTCCTGTAGCTCCCCGGCAGCCCGAGAATCCTAGCCAGTCAGTGTCTGAAACCCCCTCTGGATAACAGATGAAGTCGGCTTTGTCTTCTCATGACTCACCAGGGCTCCCCTGAGATGATTCCAAGTCATTTAATAAGAGCAGAATGTCCTGGGTGCATTGAGAGCACCCTGCCTGGCCCCAAAGCCCTGTTTCTTCCCCCTCTGCCTGCCTGTCTTCCGGCGAGGTCATTAAACATCCTGGGAGAGCCCTATGGTGGGCAGTTCTATGGGCAAACCTGTTGCAGTTCAAGCCCGAGTTGTCTCCTGTCCCAAAAAGGGTGAATCCCTGTACAGGAAGGGAAGGGACAGGACGTGACCACTTGCCCTTGGTTCCAAGGTCAAAGAAGGCTGTGTTCACCCTGCCCATGAGGGGCTAGCCTTACTCAGAACCCAGGGAGTTGATAAGAAGCAAGTCTTTCTTAGCTGTAAGCCTTTTGATCACTTACTTCCTTGCCATACGATTTGAAACTCAGGCTTTCGGGCTTCCAGAATAGTGGGTTCACTGATGCTGTGTGTTTCAGACCTCCAGAGGATGGCAGATGTTGCATAATGGGCTGGCCTGAGCTGGGAGAAGAGAAAGTTTTAAGTTTTTCCGCCGAATGATTTCAAAGTTTAACACTGTAGAGTGCCAGTCTCATTTTCATCCAGGTACCAAAGAATTAAGCAAATGGGTAGTTGCGGTTGCTTCCTGGGAGGATGATGGGACGGTTGAGGGATGCGAGGTTTAATGGGGCACACTTTGCTATGTCATCCTTTGTACATTTTCAATTTGAAACCATATCATTGTTGTTACTAAGATTCTGTTTTCAATTTAAAGAATGAAAGAAAAAAATAAAAAACACCCCAAAGGAGCTTTGTCTTAATTTTAAAAGTTTTAAGGTTTGACTGTGAAGACAGAAAAACTTGATGATGATCTCTATGCTGTCCTTCTTGGTTATTAAATCAGAAGCCTAGATGAGCACGGGAGATTTAGTCCAATGACCGTTGCGGGATACACACATAGGTTTTACAGAGGGGCACGGAGACCCAGGGAGGAGACAGGGCTGGCAGCAGAGGCCCCAGTTGGTTAGTGGCAGCGTCAGCCAGAGCGGGCCAAGGGAACCACCCACCTTGCTCCCCACTGCCTCTCAAGAACGCCAACCATGGGGTTCACCATGAGTGATGCTGGAGAAAGAGTGGTGGGTGTGTTTTCTAATCCCCCTATGGAGCGTGCTGCCACAGTCCCAGCCGGATTGCTGTACGGATGGCAACCTTGGGAACATTCTGCAAAGCTGAGGAGGAGTGACAAGCTCCTTGCTCCTAAACACCATGATGCACTAATACAGCTGACTGAATGGTCTCCTCTGAGAGCAGGGTGTTTTACCATCCTTTCCCTTCCTCTGTCTGTGGAGGCACCTCTTCCCCAGGACAGCAAGGAGGAGGGAAGCCCTGTGTCGCCCTCACGTGTGTTGTCTGTCTCACTGCAGAGTCATCAGCTATGAGTGCTGTCCTGGATATGAGAAGGTGCCAGGAGAGAAGGGCTGTCCCGCAGGTGAGTAAGCCAAGCCTGCAGCATTGGTGCTGAGAGGGGGGGGAGGCAGGGAGGAAGGAGCCCCCACATAGCAGGCAGCAGAGTCCATCCACAGGGGGGTACAGGTGACAGGGCTGCAGGGACACCCTCCCTGCATGCTCTCTGGCTCCGGGAGCCACACAAGAGCCAGAGGATGGAAGCTGGGAGCAGGGAGCTTCCTGCACTGCTCCTTTCTGTGCAAGCTGACCTTCTTACGTGGCTGGTGCAGCAGACTCCAATTTCAACCTGCCCGTGCTCGCCTCCCAGGCCTGGGCTGCTGGCCTTGTTGTCTTGGGCTGGGAGGGATTCTAACCACACCCAGCATTTCTGATCAGCTCAGCTGGAGAGCGGGACTGGGGCACAGAGCCACCCCCTCCTCCCTCTGTTGGAACCTGAACCTTTGGAGTCCATTGGGGGGAGGGTGGCCAACCAGGCAGGCTTTCCCAGAACCAGCCCAGGGAACCACGCCTGGCCAGAGGAGCCAAAGACCTCGGCACCTAAGAATTTTTTCAGAGGATTTCCTTCAAGCGTATCCCCCCAGGGACTATGCAGAGGGGAAGTTTAAACTTTGAAATTTGGTAATTATTCCTTGAGAATGTGGGACAGACTTGAAATGACAGTTTGGTTGGTGCCAAGGTCATAAGGGGGTCAGGGCTTAGGTGAAAGGGCTGGTGGGAATTATGCGGTGGGGAGAGGAGAATGGCATGTGGGTGGGGAAGGCCTTCTGTGCTTTGGGCCACTTTTGGGTTTTTAGGAAATAACATTTTATTGCTTGGAAATAGACAAAGAACCTGGAAGATTTGTAATGTTCTTTCATTCCAGTAGAGGCCATTAGGAAACCAGTTTCAACTAGATAAATCAAAAAGCCCAGTTTGTAACTAGAATATCTATTTTGGGTGTATATTCCTGCTGGTATTATGTAAACATCTATGAACGGGGCACCTGGGTGGCTCAGTTGGTTAAGCAACTGACTCTTGATTTCAGCTCAAGTCATGATCTCTGGGTCCTTGAGAGCAAGCATGGGGCTCTGAGCTCAGTGGGGAGTCTGACTGGGATCCTCTGTCCCTCTGCCCCCTCCCCCGACTTGTGCTCTCTCTTTCAAATCTTTATATGTCTGTGAACAGGGGCGCCTGGGTGGCTCAGTAGGTTAAAGCCTCTGCCTTCGGCTCGGGTCATGATCCCAGGGTCCTGGGATCGAGCCCTGCATCGGGCTCTCTGCTCAGCGGGAAGCCTGCTTCCTCCTCTCTCTCTCTGCCTGCCTCTCTGCCTAATTGTGACCTCTGTCCGCCAAATAAATAAATAAATAAATAAATCTTATATGTTTATGAACAGAAGCTTCATTTTCCTGTGGCTAAAATGATGAAAAATGACCAATTAATTAGTAGAGTCTCAGCAGGGAGGCATTTGACCCCCAGAGTTGGTTTAAGGAGTATATGACAAGGGCACGTGGGTGGCTCAGTTGGTTGGGAGTCTGCCTTTGGCTCAGGTCATGGACTCGGGGTCCTGGGATCAAGCCCCACTTCGGGCTCCCTGCTTGGCGAGGAGACTGTTTCTCCCTCTGCTGCTCCTCCTGCTTATGTTTCCCTGTCAAATAAATAAATAAAATCTTAAAAAAAAAAAAAAAAGCTTGTCAATCATAAAGTGACAGGCTTTCAGCTGGCCCGTGGTGGCTATCCTTTGGCTTTCCCACACACCTGTCCTACAGAGGTTCTGTGCGCTCTGCACACCAGGGAAGGTGTGGTCTGCTTGGGGCAGGCTCCACAGGTCCGTCCCACCTCTGTCCTCTGCCCTTGCAGCCCTACCTCTCTCGAACCTTTACGAGACCCTGGGCGTCGTTGGATCCACCACGACTCAGCTATACACGGACCGCACAGAGAAGCTGAGGCCCGAGATGGAAGGGCCGGGCAGCTTCACCATCTTCGCCCCCAGCAACGAGGCCTGGGCTTCCCTGCCAGCTGTGAGATGACCACCTTACTTCCCAGAGGGGTGGCTGGTGGGCCGGAAGCAAGACACTGTATAGCGGTTTCCCACTGTTGCACGAAGCTTCTTCCTTGAGTCCTCAGATGAAGTCAGGGAACTTGAGTTAAACTCTACCTTACTAGATGGCTTCCTGTGCCCACCCATCCAACTGTCTAGACGTTGTGTTCACTGAGGAGGAGTCCTTGGTTTCCACAGTGACTTTCCCAGGGTAGCAGGAAGTCACCTATTGCCCCTGTGGTCGGCCGCCCCCTAACTGCCACTCTGGCCTTCCTTCCAGGAAGTGCTGGACTCCCTGGTGAGCAACGTCAATATCGAGCTGCTCAATGCCCTTCGCTACCACATGGTCAACAGACGGGTCCTGACGGATGATCTGAAACACGGCATGGCCCTCACCTCTATGTACCAGAATTCGGGCATCCAGATCCACCATTATCCCAACGGGGTAGGGAGTCCCCAGGGACCCATCATTGCCCTGTATCCACCCTGAGCCGAGGCCTGGTCTGCACGTGGGGCTGGCTCTGGGGTTTCATTCTGGGGGTGAGGTAGGCTGGAGGTCATTCCCACCTCCTGCACCTGCTTCTTCCCAGGCCCTCTGGTTCCACGGCTGTGGAACCTACATGCTGCCCTGTTTTCCCCTGCTGAGGCTTTGGGCCCACACCTCCGGTAGGTGAACTGCTCATCCTCATTTCTTCTCCGCACAGATCGTGACCGTGAACTGTGCTCGGCTGCTGAAAGCTGACCACCATGCCACCAACGGTGTGGTGCACCTCATCGACAAGGTCATCTCCACCATCACCAACAACATCCAGCAGATCATCGAGATCGAAGACACCTTTGAGACCCTTCGGGTGAGGGACTGCCGTGGGAGAGGACCCGGCCTGGGGACACAGGACCTCTCAAAAGGGCCTTCTTCTGCAGGAGAAGCAGAGGGTGTCTCTTCATGGGCATTTAGGAGACATACAGCCTGTTCTTCTAAGAGCCCATGAACACAGAGGGTCCACTCATTACAGAGCTTGACCACGAGGAAGCATCTTAATCCACTGCTGGGAAATTTCCTCTGCCCGTCCTCTCCTCTGTAAGGCTGTCCTTTCGTGACTCCCCTGAAGAGTCCCGTAGTCTGTAGCACCGCAGGTCCCTTTGAGCCCTCGGCTGCCTGGGCCTGCACTTCTGGGCTCCAGCGGTGAGAGTGCCCTCCCCCACTCCCCAGGGGCACTTTCCGTATGCAGGACTAGAATAGTGCCAGGCTTCATGACCTTCTGGAGCGTGTGTCTCCAGGGGACCCCTGCCCCAGCCACCCCCAAGTTTCCTTGGATCCCAGACCAACAGAGAGGTCAAGGGAGTCTGGGTTTGACCTCTGGCCTGGCTTCTGCCCACTCTGCAGCCACAGAACACCGTTCCTTCGGCCCTGCCCGGCATGAGTTTGTCTTCGGACTGGAGCGGTAAGACGGCATTGCTCTTGGCAGTGGCTGCTCAGAGGAAGTGAACACAGGCTGCTCCGTCAGGGTTTTTGCCCTGATTCAAGGAGAACTTCCTGACCACAAAGGATACCAAAGGGGGGTTGCAGAGGCTCCTCCCCTGGAGATCTCCAACACACAGAGACAAACACCCTGGGGCTGGCCCAGCAGGGATGTGGCCTCAGGAAGTGGCTTTGCAGGGAACCCTGCTCTCTCAGCTCTCCCCTGCTTTCCTTCTGGGTCACTTCAAGGTCAGGGGTCTGCGAGGAAATGATACGTCCCCACAGATTTGGTGGCACCTCTTGATTAACCGTGTATAACCCCCACTGAGTATCATCCTCTTACTTTAGGTTTGACAAGTGTTCCCTCTTTTCTCCCTCCCCTTGGGGCCTCCCTACACCCATCTTTCCTTCCGCTAACACATACTTTAATACCTGCTCCTGGCCTGGTGGTGTTCCACCTGCCGGGGGTATACAGGTGAATGAGACAGACAAATTTCTGTCCTTGGTGGCACTTTCCTTCTTCCTGAGAGACAGACCAGATGCACACGAGGTAGCCATGGACGGGGCTAGGCATCGGGGAGTCAGGGAGTGGTGAGCTGAGGGGCCCGGTAGGCACTGGGTGGTCAGGGAGGGTTTCTCTGGAAGAGTGAATTCAGATCTGAGGACTGGAGGATGAGAATGGCCAGTTACATGAAAGGCAGGGGTCGGAGCTCAGCGGGCAGAACAGAAGGGAAGGGCAAAGGCTCCGGGGCAGGAATAGTAAGAAGGAGGCAGGCAGGGCCAGAAGGAAGAAACGTCCACAGCTAGAGTGTGACGTGGAAGCAGCAGAGCGGCAGGGGCCAGAGCTTGCAGGGCTGCAGACCGTGCCAAGGGGTGTATCCCCAACCCCGGGGCAGCAGGAGGCACCTTCTGCTTTTAGAAGATCCTAGGACTTCTCTGTAGAAACGGGTGATGTGATCCTTCCACTCCTGGAGCTCACAGAAGGAGCATTGCCCAGAGCTATTTAAGTATTATGCAAGGAGGACACAAGCTGTGAAAATTCATACAACAGACTCTTTTTGGTCTGAGGGCAGTGGCAGGGGGAGGGGTGGCGATGGGGGCAACACCAAGTTGGCTACCTAGAAAAGTGATACTATAATCAAGTCCCAGTGAAGGGATAGGAGTCAGAGAAGCCAAGAAAGGAGGAAGGGCAGAGGGAATGGCCAGGCCAAAGCCTGGGGTGGGAAGGCCGAAGGCAGAGGAAGTCATTGAGAAATGGCCAGAGTGGTGGGAGCTCAGTCCTGACGAGGTCCCCAGAGGACACCAGGAGAGGTGAGCTTTGGCGTCTTGTCATTTCTTCTATGAGTCTGAAGCGCTTCACAGGCCTGGTGAGGCGGCGTCTGCCTCTTGTCTACAGAGCCTCCCAGAGCCTTCAGGCAACTCTCTTTCCTCTCCCTGCCCCGCAGGCTGCTGTGGCCGCATCTGGGCTCAACACCGTGCTGGAAGGGGATGGTCAGTTCACGCTCTTGGCCCCTACCAATGAAGCCTTCGAGAAGATCCCTGCTGAAACCTTGAACAGGATCCTGGGTGACCCAGAAGCCCTGAGAGGTGAGCACCCCTGAGCGCCGTTGGAACGGCCAGACTGAGCCCGAGGCCTGCTCTTGCACAAGATGAACAGTCCGCGCACCATCCTGTCCCATTGCTCCCATCTGGCCCTGTCTCTGTAGAGGCCAGAGCAGAGCCCTGGTCAGAGGGACAAGGAAGAACGCAGCAGCCTTTGTCCAGCAGCAGCTGTGCTGAGGAGCAAGGCAGGGCTGGAGGTCCACAGCAGGCCCTGGCCAGACTCAGAGCTGAAGATGCTCAAAACCAGAGCAAGTCTGCCAAGCGGGTAGCAGCTTGGGAGTGTGGGGAGGAGATGGCCGGTCCGGGCATCCTTAGAATGGGGCCATCGTGCTGACCCTTGAACTCTTCCTGTCTGGCCAGGGACCTCGTGGATAATCCAAAATGAAACTAATAACCAGTTAGAGTTGACTGTTGACTTCAGAGCTGTGTCCTTCCATGCCTCCTCAGTGAGCTGCTCAGTTAGTGGTGCGTTGATTATTGCTGGAGGAGAAGAAAGGACCCAGCACATGTGAGAGGGGAGGGGAGTGAAGGCCAGGTTTGGCCACTGACCCCTGCATCTCCTGTAGAAAGGAGTAACCCCCTGGTCCTCTGTGTACCCAAACACACTTATTCCTCCCAAATACAATCTCGGGATGACTTCGTTTCTTTGGAGTCTATTCAACCCACCTTCAAACTGTACGATTTAAAATACCTACTGTATTTCAGAGGCCCGATAAGTGTAAAATGTTCTCCCTGCAGCCACACAGGGCTGGCAAGGACACTTTTCTGAAAGCGCAGATGGGGATCCATTGTGTCCAGATGTCACGGTGCCTCTGTGACATGAACCCGGGCCCCCAAAGGAAACGTGGTACAGGCTTGTCTGCAAGGAAGTTTAAGCCTGGTTGGGATTAAAAACAGGTTGTGGGATCTGAAGTGGTGAGCGCTATGACACAGACGCCCCCGTGGTGGTGGGCATGAGGGCGGGGGTGGGGCACGTGCCGCCAGAGGGGTCCCGAGGCTTCCCGAAGGAGCTGGGATGTGGGCGCATCTCCGCATACTGAACTTTCTATTTGGAGCTGTGTTCTCCCTTAAACTGCTTTTGTACAGAACACGTTTTCATCTTTGAAGATATCAGAACTCTTGCTGTAAGAAAAAGGCAGCCCTAATTTATTCCTTTTGCACACGGGCCTTTTCCTGCTCAGTAACTCGTTTGCTGTGAGACCAGGCCCTCAGTACGGGGGTGTCACTGGCTGGCTCAAAGACAGAGGGACAGGAGTCCAGCCTCACAGGCTCGGCTGTTTCTGGTGGCTTGGCAGAGAGGAAAGAAGCAGCCTTGGGCTGGCGTGCCTTGTTTGAAGACTGGCTTCCAGCCCTGGCCTGCTCTCCTTCCCCATGGCCCTAGCAGGTCACCCTTACCCCACCCAGCCTTTACCTTCCTTCCTTTAGAAGCTAAATCCCTGAGACCTCGTTCCCATGGCAGCCTGGTTGTCCTTTCCCTTCCCGCCAGCCAAATGGCTTTCAAGGCCCCTGACGCTCCTGTGGGAGCCCCGTGCCTCTGTAGGCCTTCTGAGCTTCCTCCTGTCCATGACGGTGTGGTTTTGGTTCCCACGCTCAGCACAAATTGAAACTTGCCTCTGTGGTGAGACTGTAAGGGAAAGGGCCCTGGTGACCTGGGGGAGTGGCCGTCTGGGAATCTGCCCTGCCTGGTGGGGGTCATGTCTGCCCGCTGCTCCTTGCAACTTCCTCAGGACCCCCAGCCTCTGCCCTGTCCCTGAGGGCCACTTGGACAAGGAAATAAATTCTATTTATGACTTACGGGTGGAGTGAGGGGAGTGCTAAAGACCGTGTCTGACGGAGCACCATCCCCGAACCCGAAGACAGATCCTGGAAGCTAGCGGGCCCTTGGGTAAAATGAACAAAAACAGATAAAATGCGCAGATAATCTAGAACACTCATTTGCTACAGTTTCCATCTTTCCCTATCAAATTTCACGTTTTTCTAAAGGTCAGTAGATAAAAAGTCTGAGGGTAAACTCATTTTGAGGGTCAGACACTAATAGAATTCAGTCTCAAGTCCAGGTGCTAATAAGGGAGTCACGAATGTTTGTTGGGTGTTGACTGTGTTGTCGGGCACTGTGCTGGGTGCGTTACATTCTGGGCTTCATGTCCTCCTTACACCATCCCCAGGAGATGAATGCTAGGCTTATCTCGACCTGAGGAGGAAGTTGAGGCTCCCAGGGGCTCAGAGACTTGCCCAGGGCCCCACAGCGGGTAAGTGGCCAAGCTGGGATTCAGACTCAGTCAGTCTGCCTGCTGACTCAGGACAGCAGCAGGAGGAGAGGAGGCCGTGGGCAGTGTAGCCCCCAGCCTCATCTCCAGGTCAGTGTCCGAGAGAACAGAATCCACAGCCACGGGAGCTGTGAGCTGGCCTCTGAGATCAGCCTAGAGCCAGCACAGCCTTGATCTGTGTCTGTTTTGGTCCCCAGACCTGCTGAACAACCACATCCTAAAGTCGGCCATGTGTGCAGAAGCCATCGTTGCAGGGATGTCCATGGAGACCCTGGAGGGCACCACCCTGGAGGTGGGCTGCAGCGGGGACATGCTCACCATCAATGGGAAGGCCATCATCTCCAATAAAGACACCCTGGCCACCAATGGTGTGATCCACTACATCGATGAGCTGCTCATCCCGGACTCAGGTGAGCCAGGCCTCCGAGGCCATGATCCTGCCAGGCCTGCTGGCTCCTCTGCCATCTGCAGTGGGGGCCCTTGGGGAATTCAGGGATCATGGGGGCCATTTCCTTGCAGGCACCCAGCTCACAGCCTCTCAGGGGAGAGGGCCTGGGCAGCTGGCAGGTCATGGCCAGACTGTGAAGAATCTTGAGCTGCAGGCCTGGGAGTCCAGGCTTCACTTTGGAGGCATCAGAGAGCTGTTGAGGGGAGCCGGGGAGGGATTGACTCAATCCCAGAAGCCGTTCAGGAGATCGGCCTGCTCTGGTTGGGCGCAGAGAGCCATTTGCTGGCCTCTGAGCACCCGCCGTCTCGCCGAGCCTGGGAGAAATGACTGAGTGGACTTTGGCTTGGGCTTTGTGCAGCAGGCTAGCCCCATTCTGGAATTTCAGGGAGGTCGGTTGCCCAGAAGTGAAGCAATTTCACAGAAGAAAACCGAACCAGAAGTTAGCTTTCTGTGGGTGTGGTCACTGGCACCATGGGACCCTCAGAAGCCACCACACAGACCACGCTGCCTTGCCGCAGGCCTTAGACGGCACCCTGGCTGAAGCCAAGGACAGAGATTGGCCTCTGCCTCCTGCTCCTCACCTCCCTGCCCTGCCCAGGGAGACCTAGGGGACAGGGGCCTGATGACACGAGCCCACTGTGCCGCTGCAGGGCTGAGAGGGCTGTTGACTCACGAGATGACATTCCTGCTGGTGTGCGTCATGCTGTGGGGTGGACGGAGGATAAATGAAAACAGCACTTGTAACTTTTGAACCTGCATTCTCTTTCCTTGCAGCCAAGACGCTATTTGAGTTGGCTGCGGAGTCTGATGTTTCCACAGCCGTTGACCTTTTCAGACAGGCTGGACTCGGCACTCATCTCTCCGGAAAGGAGCGGTTGACCCTCCTGGCCCCCATGAATTCTGTATTCAAAGGTAACGTGGTGAGGGCAGCCCCAGGAGCGGGTCACCTCCACAGCACCTTCCCAGAGGGACAGCACCCCGCCAGCGTTAGTGCTTCCACTGGCTCACCCGAAACCTCAGGGGCTCTGCTGTATCATCTGGCAGAGCAGAGAATGCATTTGGGGGTCTGGTCCTCAGAATCCAAGAGTTTGCATCTGGCCAGAGAGCACCTTTTTATTCGCAGAATCAACTGCTCATGTGATCGGCAGAAGGTCAGAGCGAGGATACAGCTGAGCCTTGGCTGAGGGGAAGGCGGAGGACGAGGCCAAGGGGTGTCCGTGTTTTCCCCTCCCTCCACGGGCAAAACTCCAGACACCCTTGATTATCTATACCCTCTTGTGTTTGGTTGATTTGCAGAAGATGCCAGATGTTAAGGAATATTGGCAGCCTCCCTGGATTTCTCAATATCCCATTTTCAAGTGCAAGGAGGGTTGGGCTTCCCACTGCATTTGTCTCTCGTTCTCTTCCTTTCTGGAGCATGCCTCTGGACCAAACCCACCTTCTCTTGCAGATGGAACCCCTAACATTGATGCGCATACAAGGAATTTGCTTCTGAATCACATGATTAAAGACCAGCTAGCTTCCAAGTATCTGTATCATGGACAGACCCTGGACACTCTCGGTGGCAAAAAACTGAGAGTTTTTGTTTATCGCAATGTAAGTTCTGGCTCCTAAATCATGCTCTTTCTTTGCCTCAGCTCTAAGAAATGAAAACTATATTAAAGAAAAAAAATTATATATGTGGGTATGTAGCATGTAGCTGACTAGGTAGGCAGTGGTCCACATCGAGTCATTGTGATCAACAGGGGCAGAGGGATGGAGAGTTTGAATCCTTAGCTTATGCGAAGAGAAGCCTTCTGAACTGAAACACAGCTCTTCCTGGTCCAAAAGTTTCTCTTTTCCCTTCTCCTGTCTGTTTTCTATCTTCAAACTCAACAGTTACTGTGGACTGTTAGCCAGAAAGCACAGTACAACACAGGTGCATTCCTTGGGACCTGCCAGTACCAGTGACTAAAGATGGTTGTCATCTGTTAAAGTAAACAATGCAGTAGAGTTGATCTATTGATCTCATCATCATCGATGGACCTCACGTGTACTGGGACAGTCTCATCGTGGGGCCTCTCTGTCACTCTAGTGGGGCCCAGTGGCCCTTTCTCCTTAAGGAACACTATTTTTATTTTTCCTTTCCTGGAGAAAACACGACATTTTTTCCTCACTGTAATGACCCGCTCTAGCATACATTCACTGCTCCGTGCGGATGAAGCCACCAGTGTGTGCCTGGAGCACATCAGGAGGCCTCATTAGGGTGGATGACCTATGTCTGCCCCTCTTTGGTGCAGAGCCTGTGTATCGAGAACAGCTGCATCGCCGCCCACGACAAGAGGGGGAGATACGGGACGCTCTTCACCATGGACCGAATGCTCACCCCCCCGATGGGGACCGTCATGGACGTCCTGAAGGGCGACAATCGCTTCAGGTACCCAGCCTCATGCCATGGGAGACTTCTGCCAAGTGGTCGTGCTGGGTCAGGACGCTGGGTCTCCGCTATCTGTCAAGCTCCCCACTGCCTCGGGGGGTTCAGTGAACACTGGCGGTGTCCTGGTGACCTTCCAGCCTGGGGATCTGGGAAGGGCGAGGCTCATGCTGGAAGCTTATGTTGAGAAGAAGGGTTATTTCTGGGACTGTAATCCCCACATCCTTGGGAACAGGGAGGGGGCTGCATTTTCGTATGAAGGGCAAGAAAAGATACCACACTCTCATCTTGAGGTCCCAAGTAAGCTGAGGGCACCCAGTTTTGAGTGTGGGATGAGTCTCAGTCGGCACAATATCTCCTTGGGGCCCCTGAAGACTCCTTGCCCCTCCTTCTCAAGCTCCCTATGTCACTTTGTTCTCTTGCCCCCTCTCTCCATTTCTGACCTGCTTGCTTACCCCTGGGTGCTGTGACACCAGAGCCAGGAGGCCCCCACCCCCTGCACTTCCCTGAATCACAACCCCAGGACCCGGTGGCTTGGCCTCTTCCTTCCTGCTCCCCCCCGACCTCTGACCTCTGGCTGTTTGATGGAGCTGAACATTTATGGAGAAAATATGCAGAATGGAGTCTTCCCTCCTTGTGCATGATGAGCAAGGGGTGAAAAACAGCAAGGGGGATGTAAATTCTAGTTCTGGGGTTTGCCTCCCAGCAGTGGGAAGATATTTGGGAAAGTGGGCATCCCCTCCCCGTCACAGGCAGGTGACATTTTCTCTGTGTGTCTCCCTAGCATGCTAGTGGCCGCCATCCAGTCTGCTGGGCTGACGGAAATGCTCAACAGGGAAGGGGTCTACACAGTCTTTGCTCCTACAAATGAGGCCTTCCAAGCCATGCCACCAGAAGAGCTGAACAAACTCTTGGGTAAAGACCAAGCGAAGTATATTTTGCACGGTTTCTAACGTGACTGGAACAGTCAGGGGACCAGCAGGAAACAGGGGGCTCATTACTAAGGGTTTGACTGAAAGGAACTTAATGGGGAGACTGCAGAAGTGTGGGCAGGAGAAAGGGACCAGCAAAAGATGAGGACACCCAGGGAAAAGTGTTTTCTACTGCAGGCCAGGGGCTGGGGAGACCAGGGGGAAGAGGGCACAAGGAGAACCAGAGCTCAGGGGAGGGGCACAGGACAGCAGTCAGGGCCCACATGCAGCTGCGGGCTGAGCCAAGGCAAGGGGGCCAGGACTCCTTCAGCCTCCCTCTCCTCCCACAGGCCCATTGCGTGGGCCTCCTGTCAGCCATGAGAAGGGGGCAAGGGACCCTGGATGGCATGCGTCACAGCGGTCAGTCTCCCTGGGTACCATGAAAGGCAGAGAAGAGTAGAGAGACAGTGAGTGGGTAACAACGAGCCCCGTCACTGAGACATGTCTTCCCCGTGAGAACCTGTGAGGACAGCCATAATGAAGCCATTTACCTATGTGAAATGTCCCTCAGGGCCAAAGCTTTACCAGAGAAGCTATTCCTGGCCCTGAGAAATTTAGCTGAGGATGTTTGAGAGATAACCCCTGTGGTTAAGGGCTTGGATTCCTGGATCATCTAAAAGCAGTTTTAATTCCGGGCTCTGGCATTCACCAGGTGAGTGATGTCTAGCAAGTCCTTTAACCTCTTGGAGCTTCCGTTTTCCCATTAGAAAAATGAGGGTGCCTTGCTGTGTGTAGTGTGGAGTAAATGAGGTGTTGCCAGCAGTGCTGGGCACACGTCCTCCCCCGGTGATGGCTGCGATGATGGGGTTCGGGGTAGGGGTGTAGTGTGGAGCTCTGGTGCTCGCCTGTGGGCACACTTTGGCCCTCCCACAAAGGTGAGCCTGAGGAGAAGGAGGAGGGAAGCTAGAGAAGAGGAGGAGGAGGAAGGACCTTGGCCACCCTCTGGGCATGCCTCATCTATACCTTCCTTCTAGCCCCAGGGCAGGAAGGAACTTTCTATTCAGAAAGTTCAGGTTGCAGGCATCTGTGGGCCGAATTTGTGTCTTGTTTAATAGTCTTTATTGCAAACGAATGCCTGTGTCTTTGATGCTGACGTCTGTTCCTGAGAAAAGGAGAGAAGTTCATTCTGAACATAAACTTTCCACCTCTCCTGGTCCAGCAGGAGTGGAATGTTCCCCAGATGGCCGTGAGCCTGCTCGCTTCCCTCTCATTTTCAGTTGTGCAGGAGGAGGCTTGGACAAAACTTCCCACATGTGCCCTCCGCCAGGCCTGCAGGCAGGAAAAGCCCCCAGTGCTCCTGGGGGATAGAGGGCCAGCCAGGCGCAAAGGTCAATCCAGGTATTAGACGTCTTGGAAGAAGGAGGCCCCCTGCCCTGGGGGCTGGCATGGCTCATTGCTTCCAGGTGGAATTTCTATAGAATGGGAATTCCCATCTGCCAAGTTGTGGGATGTTTGGAAACCACATGGTACCTGGTGGCTCCATTCCTCGGCACTAATTTGGATTTGTCTGTACCTAAGTGAACTCTCCCAAATGCTTTCAAACTTCCTCCGCTCTTAGTTTCAAGATGCTGGAAATAGGCATGTAGAAGCCCTGGGGGAAATCTAGCCACTTGGCTGGGAATGTGAGTATCAGGGCAGCCGTGATGGATATGAGAGGACAGCTGGCAACTTTAAGAATTGCCTCCCACACTTAATTTGGAAAATGCCTGTGCACCTTTATGAGCAATCGGATGGTCTCCCCAGTTGGTGGAGAAGCTGATGTGGGCTGGAAGGAATGCTGAGACGTGAAGGGAGGGATGCTGCGGAGGGAATGCCCCCCTTAGCCCTGACCTCATCGGCTCCACGGCCCCCCCAGACGACAGCTGTTGAGTCTTTTAAGTTCTCCCTGCAGGAAACGGCTGCCCCGGAATATGCATTTGAGGGCAGAATGTGTAAATATTTCACTACTGTGTTATAACCGTCGGGAGCCACGCTGATGATGAAATGTCCCAGATGCCGGTGCTGGAAAGGTTCCTGACTTCCCAAGCAAATATTTAGCTCATGGAAAAATGAGTCATACTCACAGAGGAGTATGGATTAACTCCTTCTCAGCAGCACAGAGAGCTCTTGCTTAACCCAGCCGTTCCCGCCCTCCCCACTACGAGGCAGATGTGTGCCTCTATCCCCAGAGCCTCCGGCGGGCAGCCTGTCAGTGGGCTGAACACACCCGCTGTGTGCTCCTCACGTGGTCGCGGAGTTCTATGTCTCGGCCATCACCACTTGCCTCCCCTCCCAGCCCTTCTAGACAGAGCTGGGTACCGGGCTTACAATGAACTCTGCTCTCCCTTCTTTCCCACAAACCCGCAGGCAATGCCAAAGAGCTGGCCAACATCCTGAAATACCACATTGGCGACGAGATCCTGGTCAGCGGGGGCATCGGGGCCCTGGTGCGGCTGAAGTCTCTCCAGGGGGACAAGCTGGAAGTCAGCTCGGTGAGTGTGCCTGAGGACTAGGTGGCCAGCCGCGCTCTGCCGCTGGGGACCCCAGGGCACCTCCCAACCCCTGGGCCAGGGTCACACACACACACACACACACAGGGTCTTGAAGGTACACCTTGGATCTCTGAGGGCAGACTGCCCAAAAACAGAAAAGAGAAAAGGGTCTTCGGGGAAATCAGGCGAGATGGTGCTTAGACATGAATAGAAACGTCTAGATTTGCCAGGGAATCAAGCGTCTGACTGGCACAGGGGAGAGGCCAGTAGGTCTTCCTTCCCTTAAGAAGATGATAGGCAATTACTCATGCATCTTGAGGAATCAATCCCCAGCCCCCTTCTTACCCCATCCCTTCAAATCTGGGGCTCACCAAGCCCCACCATGAGCCAGACTATCCCTAGCGGCTTTTTCTTCAGATGCGCGGTCGCGAGCCACCCCTGGCTCTGCACCTTGATGACACGTGTTCCACTTTGAAGCTGCCTGAGGGGACGTCCTCACTGGAGAGACAGAACAGATGGGCAGCCAAGCTCAGTGAAGCTGCCTGTGGCCTGCCTGGCTGTACCAGCCAAAGTCATTGGGCTTCCCTGTGGAGCCACCCATCTTCCAGAATGTGGCTGGCCCAGCCTCGGTGCCGGGCCCCTCACAGCCATCCCTTTGCTTACCACCTTCCCTCTGGAGCCTGAGGAAGCATGGAGGGAGACAGAACATGAGGACTTGTTGACTCCTAGTTTGGGGGCTAGGGGTCCCATCACAGCCTTCTGTTCCCCCTTCCACTTTGGGTCAGACCATGAGTTGTTCAGGAAGGACTGAGGTAGACACCTGGGTGCGTTTCCTGTAAGAAAGGCGGGCCACTGAGGACAAGTGGAAGGAACCCTACACCAGGGCTGGAGGCCTGGCTTCTGTTCCCCACCGTCCCACCTACTTAGCTTAAAGGAGACCCCAGGCCCGTCCTGGGTCTTGGTTTCCTTTTCTGCTAAGTGGGGTGGTAACAACCCCCTCTTCAGCCCACAGTGCTGAGAGGACAACATGACAGCATGGGGGGCTCTTCTGTAGATGACACTGCACTGAGCCACATGCCAATGTTAGAACGCGACCACCAAACTAAAGGCATGTGGCTGGCAGAGGCGGTTCCATTCCCCAGTGTATCCCTCACGTCTAACACACGATCTGGCATCTGGGAGCGCTCAGTAAATTCTCACCGAGTGAGCAAGATCCATGTGGTCTGTGTCGTCTCTTTTTCTCCCAGAAAAACAACGTCGTGAATGTCAATAAGGAGCCGGTTGCAGAAGCTGACATCATGGCCACCAACGGCGTGGTCTATGCCATCTCCAGCATCCTGCAGCCTCCAGGTAAGGTCCTAATCTCCCCCATCCCCCCTCAGCCTGCAGCTGACCCTTCTGCATGCATGGCAGCTGGTGCTTGACAGGAAAACTAAAGATAAGAAGAGCGCATGACATGCCACCCAGGGCCTCCATGGACGGCATCGCTGGGGCTGATTGAAAAGTGAATTCGGGAGTGTGGGTTTCCACTGTGCTGCACTAGAAACTAGAGGACATGTTTCTTTTTGCTGAATTGCCTGTTTTAGCCGCACTCAGACACAGCCCACTTATTTGTCCCCCATGGATGTGGTGAACATGACTCCCAGCCCACGTGTCTTATGCCATCACGCCTGATGGGAATTCTCTTTACCTCCAACAAGACAGAACTTGGGTCCAGCCTCTGTCTGCACTGTACACTCACCTTTCTTTGCATTCTTTCCCCATGGGCCACATTCTACCGTGAGCTAGAGGAAGTTATGAAGGAAAAAATCCATGGGAGAACGTGAACCAGCAAGCCCAACAGTGCCCCTCAGTCCTGCTTGCTGTCAGTGCTGTGCTAAGAGTTTTGCTCTCACCAGTATTGCACCTTTTTTTGTCTCCAGCCATCAGACCTCAGGAGCGAGGGGATGAACTTGCAGACTCCGCACTTGAAATCTTCAAACAGGCATCAGCATATTCCAGGGTGAGATGCCTCTAGGTTTGCCTGTGGTCTGAGCAGTCGTGGGTCCTCTGCTTGGGCCCATTCAGGGGGCTCTCTGGGTTCCTGTCTTCCTTCCTTGTGCTTTCCCAGGACTCCATGAAACTTCTCCCCACTTCCATACAGCATCCTTAGCACTGGCCTGAGTGGAGTTCTGAGGAAAGATCCCAGGCATTCCCTATTTCCTTTGTGAGCAAAAGCTGGGGTCTTTAAACTGAGGTCTCTGACCCTCATTCCATGGGTAAGCCACTGCCGGTGAGGACAGATAAAGCTCTGGAATCCATCTGTCCAAGCAAGGCCGCCCATCCTGAATTCACCTTACCGTGGCCTTGCCTGGCCTGAGCCTGGGCCTCTAAGTCCCCTTCTGTTTTTCATGGCATGGCCTGTCTTGGGGAATGCCGAAGCTCTGTGAGGCAGTGGTGTGGGATCTGGATACAGGGCAGGTGTTAGGGGAACTTCCCTTCCTTGCCTCGGCTCTGCTTCCTCCTTAGAACCTCTCTGATTTTTCCTGCGCTTCTCTTTCTGCTCCCTAGCTTGCCCAGGGCCTAGAAGCCCCACCTAGTCTCCTTTTTCTGCTTTGCATGAAGTGGAGCCCTTCAGGAACCTGAGCACCTTATAGAAAGTTTGCATTTCAAGAGAAGAGGCTGCTGGAGGTGTTGTTACCCAGAGTCCTGGAGCTGGAATGTGTCCTTTACTTTTGGACAAAGGGGTTTTCTTCGTGCCCCTTGAGAAGTGTACTTGGCCTTGAGCTCCTACTCTTGAGGGCCACCCACTATGCTGTCCCAGCTCCCCAAACTCTAGGCTGCAGTCTCGGTGGAAGCCTGGCTTTGGGGTCTCCCAGAAATATCTATGCCAGACTCTACTTGGTTGGGGCTTACACTGTGTTTGGGGCTGCCAAGACCACCTGAGGGCTCTCTAGGACCCAGTAGCTACACACTCCCCTTGCTCTTCCTCACCCCCAGCATTTTTTCTGAGTAGGGGTAGCCATTGGGGCCACCAGCAGGGGCAGGTACAACTTTCACGAGAAACCTGACACTTGGTGTTTTCTTTCAGGCCGCACGGACCTCTGTGAAACTAGGTAAGTCTGGCCTGGGTTTAAAGTCCTTTGTACAGGTGCTCGGGCCTTCCCCCCGAGCAGGCACAAACCTGCCATCAGCTGTATATAGATGAGAACGTCATGGTGCAATAAAACAAGCGTGGTCTTTGGGGTCATACGCAGAACACCCAGTTCCCTTCTCTGTGAGATGGAGATACTAAGAACACCAGCCTTTGAAGGTTGCTGTGAGTTTCTGGCTTTGGGAACCTGGGAATATTGCATGTGCCATTAGCAGGAGCACATGGTGGTTTAGATGGAAGCTGGTAGATGGCAGAAGTCCCAGTTCCCATTACATCATGGACCGAGACATCACGATCTTTGTTACATTGTGGAGTAAGACAGGATGTCTCCCAAACCAAAAAGCAGGGGGCCAGGGGAGAGTAGCAGGAGGAGGGCCTGCTGGCCCTGCGCGTGGCTCTGACGGTGTCCTAGACAGATACGCATCCTTTTCACTTAGGAAACTTCTCTCTTCCAGCCCCCGTGTATCAGCGGTTATTAGAGAGGATGAAACATTAGCGCGGAGGACGTGGGAAGAACGCACATCGGCAGCTCACCGCCACTTCCTCTGAGTTTACCAAAGAGACTGAATGTTTCTGAAACCAAATATCACACTTCAGTGTACCTGGGCTGCACCACAATGAGATCTGAGCCCTGGGTGGGTGGAGGGAGGAGGGAAAGAGATGTCTCCCCGCACCCCCAAACATGGCTTGTTAACCCACTGCTTGTGGAGACCTGGATGTCCCTGCCTGATAGTCGCTTCTAAAAAGGACCTGTCCTGAATGTGGACTTTCCCGCCCGTGCCAAGTGCTCTGGAAAAGGGGGCTGAAGTTTTGTGGCGTTCACAGAACACAGATCAGGCAGTCCAGCATCATGGGGGTGGGGGGAGGGGGTCCTGGCACAGTATTTGTAAAGCTCTTTTACAACTGGAGAAATGGCATCGTTATAAGCTATGAGTTGAATCGCTCTGTCAGACATGTCTTGTGCCTGCACGCAGCTTGGACGCTTCTTGGTGGCCCTGTCCAGGTAGGAAAGGGAGGGGGGAGAGAGAGAGAGCATGCAGAGCCCAGGATTTCCCAGGTGTGGCAGAGCCATCGTGTGTTTGTAATAATAAAACTAAAGAAACGTACTCCTGTGTGGATGGGAAGCGCGGGCCGGCCTGGGTATTCGCAAGGTCGGGGGGCTGTCTGCTTCTTGGGGCTGTGCTGGTCCTTCCTGCGGAGATTGCACCCAGGAACAGCGTGACAAGGAGCCCCAAGGGGATGGTCTGTGGGACATGCTCCATCTTTGTTGAACTCATTTTCCTTTCAGCCTCTATGGGCCCTGAGGGCTCGAGTCCTCTGTGTTGCCTTGCCTCTTGTTGGCTGGAAGTCCCCATCTCCCATCCAGCCTTGTGACCCCTGCCTTGGTGCTGGACTTTTGAATGCTCGGCACTACCCTGTGGAGAGGTTCCTGCATGGTCCCATTATACAGATGAGGAGGCCAAGGCTCAGGAAAGGACAGGCCCTGGGAGCACCGCAGATAGCTGAACTGGGACCGGCACCCAAGCGTTCTGCCTCCCGGGGACCACCATTTGGCATGGGAGTCTGTCCAGGTTTTCCAGGCCCATACCCCCTGTGCCAACCCCCACATAAATCCTTTCCCTGGCTCCTTTGGTCTTCTCCATTTTGAAATATCCTCAGCACTGACAGCCTAGTGCAGCCAGGGCATCACTGTTCCCTGCCTGTGACCTTAAACTGTCAGGGCTTGTTCCCAGAATGGTCCCAGGGGGCTGACCAGAGCATCTCCATCTGAGGTCTGTCCTGCAGAAGAAACGAGATGATTCCCACAAGATGCCTAGCACAGCATTAGGTATCCCGATTTCTATCCCGCTATCTGGGATTACTCAGGATCCATGCAGCTGACAGCCCTTTTTTGATGTCTGCCAAAGAAAGCCCCCTTACCTGGGGACAGGTCATTTTACCTCCAGGACCTGGAGACCCACACAGAACTCAGCACCATGGTTGGGGACAGCGGTGGCAGCCCAGATGGAGCCCCTCCCGCTGAGTCTGGGGCAGACAGACACTACCTGTCATACCTACAGTCACTCATCCACCACTCCGCAGCCCTCCTCGGTCCCTCCACAAATATCTGTGTGAGGCCTCAGTCTCGTGAAGTGTCCGTGCTCATGGGGAAGGGAGCTGTGCATTGGCTAATGGTACCGTGGCCCGCGCTTCCGTGACAGATGCGGAAGTAGGGATGGACGAAGGGATGCTGGGAGCTCTTGGAAGTGGGAGGGGATGAGAGCAGGTGTAGGAACTCTCCTGGAGGTGAAGGGCTCCAAGAGGGGTGTCCTGAGAGGTGACAGTTAGCCTTCTGCGGCTCCCAGTCCTGCTTCACGGCTCTGCCCTGCTCACCCAGCCCCAGGGGCCGTGCTGGCTGGGCTGCCAGTGACGGCTAGTTCTTGCTGGATATGCTGCCTCCATACTTCATTTAAGCACCCGAAATGCACAGCCCTGACTGACCAAGAAAACATCAGAATCCTAAGAAGCGGTTAGGATCACTTTTAAAGATCCCTTCATTTAAAATAAAAACCAACACAAGTTCCTTAAAAATGCCCAAATCCCTCTCTCTGTGCCTGTGATTGCTGCCCGGCCTCCATCCCAGCCTCCCTGACAAGAACACTCCACTTTTCAGCCGGAGTGTCCTTCCTACAGACTGAGCACCACACACAGCCTGGTCCTGCCTTCCCTTCCCAGCCAAAAAAGAGCAAGCTCTCTTTTTTGGGTCCTGATACCCCTCACCCCCACCTATGTTGTTCTTGGAGACCCCAGGCTAAGGATTAGGGGCTCCTATCTGGGAACGGATGCCCAGGGCTGAGGGTTTGGCACTGGATGTTTGGGGGGACTGCTGGAGGGAGGTGTGCACCTGCCCCGTGTTCCCCTCAGACAGAAGGCCAGAGGACAGCCCAACCAGGAGGTTGCTTAGCGCTGGGCTGACCCCTGCCCATTGGGCCCCAGTAAGGAAAAGGAAGGAGTGGGAGGAAGGCCAAGCATTTTGCTAGTTCCCTTCTCTCTCAGCTGTCACTAAGCAGCTGGCAGGCCTTTAGGGTAGAGAGCACTGCAAAGACCCTGAGCACAGGGGCCCTGGCAGGGGAAATTTCCCTCTGTGCTTGAAGCCATAATTCCGTGTCACGGTCTGAGAGGAGCTGCCCGGAATACTGTGTTCAGAAAACTTTCCAAAGCCAGGAGAGAAGGCCATGGAATGAGGGATGGGCCCAGCGCCCTCTCCCGAGAAGTCAAATGAGGCCACTTCTGGCCATGCCTGCCTGGCAAAGAAAGAAACATCTCCTCTGTGGGATCCTGTGACCAAACCCAGGACCAAGGTGGTTCAGGGAAGTACGCACACTCCCAAGTGCTTACACACATGTACACACTCTCACACGGTCACACATTCACACTCACACCCCTCCCCCGACACACACCCGTCTGTAGGCCTGAAGGGGCTAAAGGACCCCGGATAGAGCCTCAGGCACAGCTAACCTCTGGTGGGGAGAGGACTCTGGGACCTGGGGGAGGGGCCCTGGTTGCTCCCCAGGAACCTTCGGGCTGTGGTCTCAGGCCTCTGGGAGACGGCCACATGGACCATCCGGAGCAGGAGGCTGTCCCATCCCGAAGCTCTTATCGGTGAGAGAGACGGTGGAGTGAGCACCCTGAAGAACGCGGGGGGCCGGGGCGGGGGCTCTGGGTGGAAAGAACAGTATGTCCTGATCACATTTTCATTGTGGTAAAATATACACAGCAGGGAATTTACCTTTTTAATCATTTTTTAAAAGATTGTTCATTTATTTGAGAGAGAGAGAGAGAGAGAAAGAAAGCAATCACACATGAGTGGGGGGAGGGGCAGAGGGGAGACTCTCAAGCAGACTCCGCACTGAGTGGGGAGCCCGATGGAGGGCTGGATCCCATGACCCACAAGATCACAACCTGAGTGGAAACCAACAGCCAGATGCACAACTGACTGAGCCACACAGGCTCTTCTTTCCAACCATTTTTAAAAGTGTGTAGTTCTGTGGCATCAAGTACATTCCCATTGTTGGGCGATCATCTCCAGGATTCTTTTCATCTCATTGGGTGAAACTGAAACCCACTAAACACGAGCTCTGCATTCTCATTCCCCCTGCTCCCCTCAGGCCTCGGTCATCTCTGTTTGACCTTCTGTCCCTATGAATTTGACCACTCTAGGTACCTCATATAAATGGAATCATACAGTATTTGTTCTTGGGTGACTGGTTTTTTGTCTTAGGACGCTTTCTGGGTTCGTCCATGTGATAACATGTGTCTGAATGTCCTTCTTTTTCAAGGCTGAGGAATCGTCTGTTGCTCATACGCCACATTCATCCATAGATGGAGGATGGGTCGCTCCCACTTGGAGGCTATTGTGAATAACGCCACTATGAACATGGGTGTACAAATATTTGAGTCCATTTTCAATTATTTGGGATATATACCAAAAAAAAAAAAAAAGAATTGCTGGATCGTATGATAATCCCATCTTTAATTTTTTGAGGAAATGGGGCTACTGGGTGTCTCAGTCAGTTGAGCACCTGACTCTGGATTTGGGCTCAGGTCGTGATCTCAGGGTCCTGGGATGGAGCCCCAGTGTTGGTGTCTGTGCTCAGCAGGGAGAAGCCTCCTTGTCCCTCTCCTCCTGCCCCTCCTCCCACCCCCGGGCGCATGCACGCACGTGCTCTCTCTTTCTTTCTCAAATAAATAAAATCTTTAAAGTTTTGAGGAATTGCTATACCGCTTCCACAGTGGTTTTGCTATTTTATTTCCCACAAACAGTGCACAGGGTTTCAGTTTCTCCATGTCATTCTTGCCTTGCTGTTTTCTGTTTTTATAATACCCATTCTAATGGATGTGGTTTTGATTTCATTTCATTCCCTAATTATGAGCAACTCTGAGCATCTTTTCATGTGGTTATCAGCCCTTTGTATTTCTTTGGAGAAATATCTATTCAAGTCTTTGCCCAATTTTGAATTAGGTCATTGGCTTCTTGAATGTTACTGATATTCTTTATATATTCTGGATATTAATCTTTCATGAAATATATGATTTGCAAATATTTTCTCCCTTTCTGTGGGTTGCCTTGTAAGTTTGTTGATAGTGCCCATTGATGAGCAAAAATGTTTAATTTTTATTAAGTCCAATTTGTCTGTTTTTCTTTTGTTCCCTATACTTTTGGTGCCATATGCTAGAGATCATTGCTGAATCCATTGTCGTAAAGCTTTTCCCTTATGTTTTCTCCTAAAAGTATTTATGTTTAGATCCTTGACCCATTTTGAGTTAGTTTCCGTGTATGGTATAAGGGTCTGAGTTCATTTCATGCAAACATCCAGTTTTCGCAGTCACATTTGTTGGAAAGACTGTCGCCTTCCTGTTGAATAGTCTTGCCACTATTATTGCAAATCATTTGGCCACATATGCAAGGCTTTATGCCTGTGCTCTGTTTCTATTGGTCTATAGGTCTGTTTTTAATGAGTCAAACCACACCATTTTGATTGTTGTAGCTTTGTCGTGAGTTTTGAAATCAAGAATGTGAGTTGTCTGGTTTTTTTCAGGATTTTTTTTTTTTTTTTTTTTTTGGATATGCAGAGTCCCTTGAGATTTCATATGAGTTTTAGGATGGATTTTTATATTTCTGCA